GGCGGCTGACGCGGAATAACAAGCCCCAAGATAACTTCGATCTCCTGCCACGCCAAGACCGACGCTCGGCAGCGGCGCTCTAGAGCACGTTGAATGAACTGATACAAGCCCATACGGATGACAGGGCCGGCCGATTCAGCAGACACAGGCGCCCCACATGTCCGACCCAGACACGCAGCAAATCGCCGGGAAGCTTCCAGCGCCGAAGCCGCCCCCCCCCCCCGGCCATGTAGACGCGCCAGACCCAACCTGGCCGGCGACGCATGGGCCCCCGGCGCCCATCAATCACCGCGCCCAGGTGCTCCAAGTGAAGAGCGTGCCCGGCCAGGTCGCGCGCGCGCGCGCACGGCCCGCTTGCAAAATCGCTCGAGAACATTGCGCACTTCCGAGGCAGCGCCACCCACCTAGGCAGCGACGCCCACCCATGACGAGGCGATCGGGCTCAAGGGCGAGGCCCAAGGGCATGATACAATTCCCTAGCAGCACACCTCCAGGGGCACCCGCAGCGGCAATGGGCTCCACTTCCGAATGGCATGAATAGGAGGCCCAGCTAGCACCCATGCCCCGCGCGCGGAAGCACGCGTGCACTATCTCATTGGACTCCACTGGCGCCATCTGCTAGAGCTGGCCATGCCAGACCTCAGACACGCCATATACGCCAGTCTCATCAAGATCGCCCATCGCAAACCAGCCGGCCATGCGCCGGTGGTCTAACTGATAGCACCAAGGCGCAGCGACGCCCTTCGAGACCTTCAGCTTGTCGGGAAGAAGGGGGGCCAGATGCCTCGGCTCCTGAGCGCATGGGTCTTCGGCTTCGCGCGCCTCCTTGAGCGCGCTCAGCGGGGCCAGGCCCTGCGGCCGATCGCCGCGCAAGCAGATGCGATCACCCAAGGAAGTAAGGATCACCAGTTGCGATTGAGAGAGCCTGCCAGATCTCCCGCGGCACAGAAAACAAGCGTCTAGACGCGCCCTGGCGCGGACCTAGAAACCTGAAGGGCGAACGGGCTTCACGAGACGATTGTCTTCGCGGCCAACCCGCCCACCCACGCAGCACGCGCCACCGACGCCCAGAATCACGAGGGCCCTTGGCGAGGCGCGCCGGCAGGGGAAGCGGGCCCCCACGCCGACGTTGACAGAGATCACGAAGGCCTCGGTGGGCAAAACTCGGCGATCGAAGCAATTGACCAGAAGCTCCAACCTGTCGAAGCGAGCGAAGCGACGAGACGGCCAAGGACCTGCCTGCGCCCAAACCCGCGACGGGCCTACTGTCCAGCACTAGCGCCTGCAGCGCCGCCAGCCCCTTTGCCTCCGCCCTTCGGACGGCCCCGGCCATGCGCTACGCTTGGCATCAGCGCCGCGCTCCTCGCGTAGCAGACAAGCCTGTTTGAGAGTGAAGGAGCGCTGCTGCTGCCTTTCGGCAATGTACTTGGTGAACTTCGGCCCAGCCACCCTGCCCCTGTCCTCCGTCGCACCCGCCGACAAGTAACCAAAACCGCTGTAGTCTGGGTGCCTGGGACCCCCTCTCGACCGCGAGCTCGCGTTGCATGATGCCGCACTTGCTGCTCACCAATGGCCGAGCTTGCGACGTTGACCTTGTCGCTGACCAAACCGAGTCGGATCGCCTCCTAGATGACCATGTGGCACGCCTGAAACACCACATCAGCTCTGATGGTATGCGTCGAACGAGCCACCCATGGTGTCTATGATACATGTGATGCACTGCTTGGCAGCACGCGGCTCTGCGAAAAGGAAATCATCAAACTTCGTCTCCAGCCGCATCTCGACCGCGGCCCTGGCACGAACAAAAACGGCGACGCCCCGCACAGCGGAGGGCACCGAGAAGCCGTAGACCGCCGCCTGTCCGGTCTTTCAACTATTATCCAACTCGCTGGACTGTATGCGCTCGACATGTACCTCGGAAGCCGCGTTGTTCGCGCCGAGCTGCGCTACTCTTCTGTGTTCTCGCAACGTCGACCGATCTGCATCCTCCAGGAGACCTTGCTCCACTACTTCTACGAAGCGGACGCCGATCGAGTCAACGATGGCCCACACATCCTCTGGGTCGACCTCGACGCTATCGCCAACAACGTGAGCCAAGACGCAGGCTCGGGCGCGCGCCTCCCCCAGCTCCCGAACCGGGAGCGGATCGAACAAGAGTCAATCATTGTGGTTTCTCTCGGGCACTGGGCGCCTCGCGCCAAGGGTTCGAACCGCACCGCTGTAGTGTCAAGAATATGGACATCACCCGTCGGAATACGAACAACCGACCTGCTGCCTGCGAGCCGCACCAAGAGGACACGGTGGCCACCGTCAAACCGCACAAGAATCTACAGTCCCTTGATATCGAGAACACTCATTGTGGACTAGAAGTCAGGCGCAGCGTGGACGGAGTAGCTGGTCCCGTACGAGTCCGAGATACCTGAGAATCGTCCGCAATTCTGTGTTCGATCATTGCTGGGGCCCGTCCACGCGAGCACTTGCCCAACAGCAGACCCGTCAAGAGCGGTACGAAACAGAGCGAGACCGTGAGGCTCAAGAATTTGCTGAAGCTGACACTCTCGCCGACCTTTCCCTGAAGCGACCCAACCTGCGTAGTCAACACACGCTCGATCTGATCTGAGCACAGGTTACCGGTGATGACGAGTCAGGAGAGCCAAATTTTCCTTCAAAATGACAGCGGCAGCTCGGCTCGGGAGACGGCCGAGAGAACAGCACAATATTTCGAAATAAGGAGTACCAAAGGTGTACGTCGGGAGAGAGCCCTTCCTAACCCATGCCGGGCCTTTTCGAGCAAAAGAAGCTATGAGCAGCACTGCAGAGCATACCTGCCCATGTGTCCGCCGAAAGAATCCTACAATGCAGAAAACCGCAATAACTGCAATGTGGACATGCATATTCCTCTTCCTATACTTTTACAAGCCCAGGGGGGGGGACCCCTCACCACCACCCCTGAAAAAAAACTGGACCACTGGGATCTGAGGTTATCAGGCTCCCTTGGACGTCCTTGGAAAAGGTCACCCGGCTTTCCGGGTCTCCACAAACTCCTTGCCAGCAGACCCAGAGCAATCCGAGGGTTCATCAGAAAGGCTCGAGGGAGGCCCCAGACAGCACAAGAGCGCTCCAAGAGGGACTCCAATTGCGTCAGGACGGCCCAAAAGACCGCCAAGGCACCCAAAAAAGCTTTCCAAAGGGCCTTCAAAGCACAAAAATCGTCCCATTCCTTTCGTGAAACTTACAGTGTTAGCATATTCGCCTTTCGGATTTCATCAGCTTTCAAAACGGTTTCAAAGCCCCCGAGATCGCCTCAAGACGCCCCAAAAGGCCCCCAAGAAAGCTTCAAGACGGCCGAGCCGGGCCCCACGATCGCCCACGAGACCCCAAGACAGCCCATAATGGAACCAAGAGGCCCAAGGGCTCCTAGCACAGTCCCAAAAGGGCCATGGGAGGTCCCCAGAAGTGCCCAAGATGAGTCCAAAGGGGGCTCCAGCGGGCCCAAGGTCCCCAAGACGGCCCAAGAAGGCCCCAGGACGGCCCATGAAGGCGCCAAAACGGCCCACGAGGGCCCCGAAAACACCCCCACGATGTTTCCGAATGCCAACATAAGACCCCCAAGGCACCCCACAAAGCTTTCCAAGGGGCCTTCAAAGCACAAAAATCGTCCCATTCCCTTCGTAAAACTTACAATTTAGCATATTCGCCTTTCGGATTTCATCAGCTTTCAAGACGGTTTCAAAGCCCCCGAGATCGCCTCAAGACGCCCCAAAAGGCCCCCAAGAAAGCTTCAAGACGGCCGAGCCGGGCCCCACGATCGCCCACGAGAGCCCCAAGACAGCCCATAATGGAACCAAGAGGCCCCCCAAGGGCTCCCAGCACAGACCCAAAAGGGCCATGGGAGGTCCCCAGAAGTGCCCAAGATGGGTCCAAAGGGGGCTCCAGCGGGCCCAAGCTCCCCAAGACGGCCCAAGAAGGCCCCAGGACGGCCCATGAAGGCGCCAAAACGGCCCACGAGGGCCCCGAAAACACCCCCACGATGTTTCCGAATGCCAGCATTAAGGCCCCCAAGGCACCCCACAAAGCTTTCCAAGGGGCCTTCAAAGCACAAGAATCGTCCCATTCCCTTCGAAAAACTTACAATTTTAGCATATTCGCCTTTCGGATTTCATCAGCTTTCAAGACGGTTTCAGAGCCCCCGAGATCGCCTCAAGACGCCCCAAAAGGCCCCCAAGAAAGCTTCAAGACGGCCGAGCCGGGCCCCACGATCGCCCACGAGACCCCCAAGACAGCCCATAATGGAACCAAGAGGCCCAAGGGCTCCTAGCACAGTCCCAAAAGGGCCATGGGAGGTCCCCGGAAGTGCCCAAGATGGGTCCAAAGGGGGCTCCAGCGGGCCCAAGCTCCCCAAGACGACCCAAGAAGGCCCCAGGACGGCCCATGAAGGCGCCAAAACGGCCCACGAGGGCCCCGAAAACTTCGCCACGATGTTTCCGAATGCCAACATTCATTGATTTTGCTCCCATGACATTTCACACTGTGACCCAGTCGTTGAGGGTCTCGCGGCATGCAGCGAAGATGCCCGAGGATGCCCTGTACGAGTTGCATATGCATGTTCATACACATATATGTACACATGTACGCTGTATACACACATACGACAATGTAAACATATTGTATACACCTAGACACTTATACGGAACGTGCATGCACGTGCGCGTGTATACATGCATGCGCGCATGTACGCACGCACGCATTCCACTTGCGTGCAGAACTCAAAGGACCAAGGTACATGGCGCGCAGCGCCAATGCAGTCTTGTATATATATATATGTATAACGTTTCTCTCTCTCTCTCTTTCTGGGTTCTCTCTCTCTCTCTCTCTTTCTTTCTCTTTACCTCACTCTCTCTCACCTTCTCTCTCTCTCTCTGTCTGCATCTGTCCTCCTCGGTCAACGGCGACGACAAAAGGGATGGCGACTGCGGCGGCGACAACACCGCATCGGGTGCCTCCGGGACGTCTGGCCGACGGATGGGAGCCCGCCAGTCCGCCGAGAGCGCCGCAACCGCCACCGGCGACGGCGGCGGCCTGGAAGCGCCACTTTGATGTTTCGGGGGCATCCCCCCCTTCCCTTCCTCCTCCGCCCCCTCTTCCTTCCCTCTCCTCCTCCCTCCCCGCAGCTTCCTCATCCACTTCCCCCTCCCTTCTTCCCCCTTCCCCTCCTCCTCCTCATTCCCCTCCTTCTCCTCCTCCTCCTCCTCCTCGTCCTCCTCCTCCTCCGCCTCCTCCCTCCTCGCACCCCGGGGGCGGTCGAAAGGGCGGGCCGGGAGTTTCGCCTGAGACTTGTGTATGATCCTGACGCTTGAAATGTGTCACAGTTTCACGGATGGAGGGCGACCCGCTTTCGAAAAGTGGCTCTCGCCGTAGGGCCGCGCACATTCGTCTCAAAAGCTGCAGCAGCTCCACGGGTGGAGGGTGGCTCCTCTTCAACATCTGGCCAGCGCCTTCGCGCCGCACACATCGGTCGCAAAACATTGCAACAGCTCCACGGAAGGAGGGAGGTTCCTTTTCAAGCTCTGGTTCTCGCCTTCGCGCCGCGAACATCCTTCCCAAAAGTTGCACGAGCTCCACTGGTGGAGGACGGCTCCTTTTCACCATGTGGCGTATCCTCTGTGTGTCGCGCACAGTCGTCTTGGGGCTCTCATTGTTAACGTCCCAGAAATTGTGTTACGATGTCGGAATGTCAGGGCGCAACAGCCACGTTGACTCGCGGAGCTGAAGTCCCAGGAATGTTGTTCTGGCACGATTCCGAATCGTGAGGACGCAAAAGTAACGGTGATCTGAAGGCGGCGTTGACGTGCCAGAAAAGGCGCTCTCGCACAATTACGGATTTTCAAACGGTCCTCCTCCGACGAGGAATGTCCTTCAGCGAAAATGAATCCGTTGAGGAGCCTATGAAGAGGGAGCTTCGGGGGGAGTGTTGATTGCAAGATCGTTGACGGATCTTGGGTTTACAGTGGTCCTCTTCTTCCTCTTCCTCCTCCTCCTCCTCCTCCTCCTTTTCCTCCTCCTCCTCCTCGTCCTCCTCCGCCTCCCCCTCCTGCTCCTTCTCCTCCTCCTCCTCCCCCTCCTCCCCCTCCTCCTCCTACTCCTCCTGCTCGTGCCTTTCCCCCATCATGTCCTTTCACCCACCTCCTCCCCGCCTGCCCCAGGGGGGGGCAGAGAGGAGGAGAAGAGGGGAGAAGAGGGAAGGGACGGAATTCGGAGAGCGGGCACGGAAGCGCACGCCCCGCGGGGGCAACCCGGTCGGCCACTCCCAGGGCTCTCGCACACAGCGGCGCACTCTTCAGCAACCATGAGTGAGCCCCTACTTCAGGGTCACTCCCGCCCGCGCGCCGCGCCCGTCTGTGTTGCGCGCATCGCCTCCGCCCGCGTGGGGCTGCTCCCCCGGCACCCGTCCCAAAACGCACGCACTGCACACGCCGCAGCAGTGCGTGCCAGAGAAGCCGCTGCGGGAGCGGGCGACGTCGCCAGCGTGGCCGTCGCAGGAATCGTGCACAGCGCCGAACCGACGGCGGCAACTCATGGGAGCCTCCCATACCATCTTGCTGGCTCTTGCGAATCGACGCTAAATCGGAGCGCATCGACGCTAAATCGGCGATTGATCATCGATGACCAGACGCTAGCGCACGCGAATGCACTCTAAAGACAGAATTGCGACGACACACAACCCAGACATCCGGCCGCTCCATTTGTTGTTGGTGCGCGTCCCCCGTGGAGGTCCAGTTTGTCGTCCTGAGTCGTGCCAATTTTTGTCGGTGCGCGTGCCACTTCCCTAGGGCCGGTTTGTCGTCCTGACTCGTTTTTTGACGCTCACCCGGCCTGGCGAGGGCCCCCGCAGGCCGCAAACGGCCAAAAAAACGCCGGCTCCAATTTTTGGGGAGCGTCGGATCTCTGGGAAGGCTCACAAGCTTTGCTACCGAACCGAACCGATGGCGGCACGTCTGGCAGTCCAGCGGGGGGCAGCGAGGACATCCCCGTGGCCGCAGCACCGCGGGCACCGTGGGCGCGCACACGCGTCCAGGTCCACATCAGCGAGACCCTTGGAAGCGAGGGCGAGTGGCGAGAGGCGATCACGAGGGCGAGGGCGAGGGGGGAGAGCGAACGCAAGGCGGAAGAGGAGGGGGAGGGATGGGGAGGGGCAGGGCAGGAGGGCGAGGGGGAAGAGGAGGGGGAAGAGGAGGGGGAAGAGAAGAGGGGGTGGGGAGAAGGGGGGGGAAGGAGCTGGGGGGATGCGGAGGGGGTCCAGGAAATCGAGGGCATCGAAATGGGACGTCCGCAATTGACATGCCGCTGCGACCCCTCTCGCCGCAGCGGGAGAGGGAAGGAGCCAACAGGGCACGGAGAGGAGGCAATTCCCCCCTTATACTCCACCTCCTGTTCCTCCTGTTCCTTCTCCTCCTCCTCCTCCTCCTCCTCCTCCTCCTCCGCCTCTTCCTCTTCCTCTTC